TTGAGGAGAAGGTTTACAAATATCTGCCCACCAGGCTGTTGAACGAGATAATATCTCAAAGAACTTAAAATTAGGCGTACAATTCTTGTCTAGAGAAAAAAAATCAAAACCGTCCTGAATGTGTGGTGGCAGCAGATGTGACCAAAAAGGTCAGTATATACTCTTTCCCATGCTAAGATTAAACTGGTCTTTACTGAAAACTTCACAGCAAGGAAAAAAAAAAGTGATCTTTTTCTATGCAATGTAACAAGATGAATAGGTAGTACAGTTATATACAGTCCATTGTACTGAATCATCCCATGTTCTGTTGAATTACAAGAAAGTTAAAAAAGTAAGTATTTCTTAAAAACTGCAAAACACATGAAAGCTCTGGTTTTTCCAAGAGTCACTATCTAATGACTTTTCTGGGAAATTTAATGTTTGTTTCATTTCCCAGAGGACTCTGGAAATCCACCCAATTGACAACTTAAACTGACATTGCATTAACAACAATATATTTTAACCTTATTCACTTACACAATTCTTCAAAATTGCAGTAAAATATTTAATGAACTGGTGCTTCCTTAGATAGTAACCGAGTATATTAGCAGCCCAGAAAATCAGTGTGTGTTAAACTGACATATGCTCTAAATTATTACAAATATTGTACACTCTCATCTAGTTTACCTATTAGTTATAAAGAAAAGAATGAGGACAACTGCAGCAGAAGAACCTGTCCATGACACAGTCTGGCAACTGCTAATATAGACCACTATTTCATGGAACATACCCAAACTTAATTTGGGGTAAAAGACAATTGTAGGATTCAAAAATTTTAAACTGTCATCTGTTTTTAGACCTGTCTCTAACGAAAACACAAACCAGTTTCCATACAGAAGGTCAAAGATTGCCCCCCCGCCCCTGAAAACAGATAAGTGCTTTTATTTAAATCAAATCATGCAGATTGAGAGTGATGGCTAAAGGTCACAGAAACGCCTTTATAACATCAGTAAATAGCTAATTCTGAAAAAGAATATAATATAATATTATTGCTGATATCCTCTGACCTCAAAAAACACAGGTTGTTAACATTACTAGGAGAATGTGAAATAGAGAGCCTGTAAGGAGTAAAGTTGAAAAGAAGTGTTTACTGAGTAACAGGCAATCAAAGGGAAAAGAAACAGCAAAATATCTATTTCAAAACTTTTTTTTTCCAGCTAAAAATAGAAGGCTGTTCAAAACCACAGGATTCCATTCAGTCAAATTAATCATAGAGAGGCGTGGATTAAATTTAGATTAAAAAGAAATTCTTTTCATCCAGAAAGGTTAGCTCAGAGGCATTCATGAGCAAGACAGCAAAATAAATGGTCAGGATTTAGAGAGAATCAGCTGATCCAAGAATCTACATCCAAACAGCCCAGAGCTCTGGCACTAAAACCCATGCCCAACCCAGAACCTCAACTACAGTTTGTGTGGCAGCCAGGAGCACTATCAAGACTGGTCTCTGTGGCTCTGACAGACTCAGAGGGGAAAAAGGACACTCTAATCAGTTCATGTTTATTAACATCCCTTGATTATGGAATGGTTGTGCCACTGCATAAACACAACAGTCAGTATCTCCTCTCCCTCCAACAAAAAACCATTACAAATGCGTGAATAATAAGATTGAAAACACTGTTGTTATGTAGCTAATACTACTAAATGTGCTAATTCATGTGTGGGGGGGGGGGTATGTAAAATGCAACAAAACTTTTAAAGCAATGTATCTTTAGAATGAGATGTCGCAAATTCAGTTCACCTGGCTGGAGCGTGGATTCAAATATGTTAATTTCATTTTTGTAAGAGGTTCCATATTACAGGAATACAGGAAAAATAAAGAACGGAATTTGTAAAGAAAGAGGACAATACCAAAAATAAGGTGAACAGCTAAAATCTAAGTGGGAATTCACAATTAATTTCATTATTAGAAAACTTTATGGTCCAAGAATGAGAACCACTTGGGCTTACTTGACTGCTACAGCAGTTCAGAAAGGCACACTGGATGCTGATTTGGAAGGTTAGTAAGAGAGAAAAGACTGAAGAATTTTCTGTAGGGGAAAAAAAACCCAGTACCCAGAACCTCTCAAAAAAAAGGGGCAACAAAGACAATAACGGAAGCAGGTGACTAGCTATTTTTACTTCCTTTATTTATTTAGGAGACTATATCAAAGGAAAATTCTGAAATCCCAGGTTTTTACTTTTTCATTACACGTTTTATCCTGTAAAAATCAGAAGATTATTATCAGCAATGTTTTTATAGCATTTAGTGAAAAAAGCTTCACTTCTGCTTTCAATGCATAATTATAAGTTTTTTAGTACGATGACAAGACTGTTCAGTTATTTAATGTTTGTGTTTAAACATCAGACAAGTTCATCCTATGGTTTATGTTTTCTTTTCACTTTTCTAATTCATAAAACATCTCATCCATTTTCTCATGCAAGAAATTCAAATGAGATAAACATTCAAATGTAGAACCAATACAGAATTTTTCTATTGCAAAATACATCTGATTTTCTGCATTTACTACTCTCAAAAAAGCAGTTACTTATTTAATGTTTGTCGGTTTTATACTTTTATATCAACTAAAGCTATGGATATAATCTAAATTCAAATTAAAGTTTTAATTTAGACACTAAGAACTTATTTAAACATTTTGTTCTAATTAGAAACTTTATTTAATAATCTTCTTCAGTTAATGAGTACATTTGCCAGTTTTAAAAGCCTGCAAACACCATAAAGACTATTTTTCTTGCAAAAATCTTTAAATTAGCACATATTAATTAAACTGTGCATGCAAATAGCCTTATAAAGAAAAAGCCATTTTATACATTTTAGTTTCATTTTTAAAACAACGAATGTGTAAACAACTAAAATCAGAAATAGTTCATCTTTTTGATTTCAACACGCTCATTCAGAACCCTAAGCAAAGACATCCCCTTATCAGACCATAAACATTTGACTGTTTAGTTTTATACATCACTAAGAGCTTGTTTGGAAATTTCTCATACATGGATATGCATCTATTTGTCAGTGTGAAAACTAAACACCAGCTTGTCAGCTATCACAAGTTCTTTCTCTCCCTCCACAAGAAAATATGCACAGAAAAAAACCTCCCCTTTCCTCTCTCCAGCTTGCCAGTGACATGCCACAACACACCGTGTCAGAGCAGAGAATCCAGTTTTCATCCTGCACTTTCAAACTTCATGTAAACTTATTTTGCAATATTAAGATAGAGTTCATCTTTTGTAAACAATATTAATATTAAAGCATTAAGATTAGAATAGTGTAAACCAAAGCTTTCTCATTTCTGTGCCAGCAACTGCAATAAGATGAGGAGCTTTCACTGACACTCCTTTCAGGCCTCACTCTCTGCTCCCATGCACTGTGTGTTACTCACAATTTATCTCTGCTTTCATGGGTAGCAATAGCATGAGCTGATAATATGCCAAACCAATGAACTCTTACTTCATTCACTTCAGGGTAGCTTAAAGTTTTAACTAGGGGATTTTTTTGGTTTTGGACTGAGAAAGTAGGGTGAAGGCAAGGCTGAATTTTACTATTCACATGCTTTATTTTGTATAGGTGATGGAGCACTAGAAGAGACTGATATACACATTTTTTGAATGTAAATATATTAACATACATAATCCACAGAGACAACATAACTTGAATAGCATCCATTCACACAGAAAACTGAGTAAAAATAATCTATCCCTATTGCAGATATTCTATGCCTCCATCTCTATCTGGTCTTTATACAGCTGGATGATACACCAGCTCCTGCAGCATGTCTCTAAAATCTCACTGCGGAGAGAAAACTTTATTGTTTGTTTTTCAGCTGTCTCATCAAAACAGCCTTCAGACAGCTCCATACCTTCAACACCATTAGAAGATATCACTGACAATGTCACTGCAGTTTTAAGGTGATTTGTCTGAATGGTACCAGAAGGTACACAGGTGCTACTACTTCTCACAAGCCTAGTCTCCGCTAGGACATAAACGTGACAAATTGCAAAGTAACTTGCTGTTAAGCTTCATTTGAATGCATAATTTACAGTTGAAGAATTCAACCTTTGGTCATTCACATGGGCAGCTGCTACTTTCAGCCCTCACTGTGTGAATCAAGTCAGGACTGAAACATCTCGTGTTTCTGCCTGCCACCACAAGAAGGACTCAAATCCAGAGGCACAAAATTCCTAATAAGGAGGGTCACAAGACTTTCTGCTATTCTACTGTATATTTAATGTTAAGTTTTCTACCTCAATTTATTACTCTTTCATGAGAAAAGAGGTCACTGGTAACATTTCACTAATTCTCACTGGTCGCCAGGTTGGCATATACAGCTGACAAAATACAGTTGTTTTTTCTTTCCTTCCTTTTTTTCTTTACTTTCCTCCTCTTTAAAACATAAAGTGAAAAAATATTGCCTTTGTAATACACAAGCAATCCCTTTCCTGTACTGTCTAGAGCTGTAGGCCGTCCATCAGTCTTTTTCACCACACTTTTAAAGCCACTTCAACATTAAGGAGCTCCATAACTGCATGGCAACTGGCTGGCTGCCAACAAGCTGCAAAACAAACGCCCCTTGTATTGACATTACAGGTTCCTTGATCATATTCAATAAAGCACCTTTGATGTTAGCACTATTGGCTAATATCATCTTACAGGGTCTTGAGGGAGAGGTTATCAAGTCTGTAAGACAGATCATAAAGCCAGAAAAGACCCTCTAATGTTAGAATAGAACAAAGTTTATGTCCTGTGAGGTAAGAACAGTATTTATAGGTGGGGAAAATGTCAAAATACACACATCATCTATGATTCACCATTTTTTTGAGTAACATTTGGTGAACCACAGATCCCACCTTGTCTGAGAAAACCCAAGCTGTTTTCTCGTTATCCAGCCTTAACAGAGAAGTCTCCATGGGACACTAAACAACCGACCATGCTTGGGTACCTTTCTGTCACCCCATATCCTCCTGACCTTCATTTGTTATATCCAGGCAGCTGCCTCTTTCTTTCCCAATCTGGCATGCTCTCAGAGCAGTCTGTCACCCTGCCCACAATGTGGTGCTTCAACACTTGGCAGGTACAAAGCAAAACTTCTAGTGCTCTAGTACTGTGGGCTCTTTGGTTTAGTGAGACCTCTTTAAGTACATGAAGTCATAAAAGCAGAGACTGACAGGCCTCCCATATGATTCCAAAACAAAAGGGGCACTGGTCCAGGAAAAAAAAAAAAAAAAAGAGGTGGTGCAATACACAGTGCCTTGATTCAGCATGCTCCAAAGGGAATGACCCCTGGAAAGGTAGAAATCTTTCCACATCCTTTACTGAAATATGGAAGGTATTCTAGGTTTTGGTGGTGGTGGTTTTGGCTTTTTCTCACTCTTGCTTCATTTGCTGGCATGTCCAGCCCTGGAAGTCATCATCTTTTTCTCTCATCTTTAGTTTTCTGTTCTGCTGAGGGAAATCCCCAAAAGGACCCAGCTTCTCGTCCTCTTTTTCAGCTATAGTAAAATTTCACCTTTCCCAGCCCTCTAGCCACAGAACAGCACCTGGCTAAATGTTATGACCTGGCAGATTCCTTCTAGTACTAAGCTGGAGAAAACAACATCCCTAACATCTCATTTTAGTCTGGGACAGGCCTGGTAATGAGCAGGTAAAATGACCCTGCTGGAGAGACCGTATCAGCTTGTTGTGGTCTCAGGCCTGCCTCCAGCATTGGCCATCAACAGGTGCTAGTGAAGTGTGTAAGTACCAAGCAGTCATACAACGTTTGCTTTGCTATTATACTCTTCTAGCTTGCATTAACCAGAGGTTTATTAGCTCCCAGATCTCTAAAAATTTCTCTCCCCTGATTTTTTAGTTGTAGCAGGAAAAGACAGGAAAAGGCTATCACAGATCACTTACATGAGAAAATAAGATATCCTATTTCATTTTTGTGAAAACACACAGGCACAGATGGAGATGATCTTCATCATCCATTAAATGTTGGATTATGCTCTCATATTGGCCTAAGTTATTCAGCAAGGTACAGTCAATCAATCTAGCCCCATATGAAATAGGTGATATTATTCTATTCCTTGGGCCAGCTCCTCCCTCTTTCTCCTGTTCTGTCTGCACAACTCAAGGGCTGCTGCCTCTTCACTTCCAAAATGTTCACATTCAGTGATATTTTCCCTTTGGCTCAGCATCTTGCTCAGGTCGGCCATAGCTCCCATTCCAGGAACAGACAACACACTTGTGAACACTGGTGGGAAAAACCCTCAGCCCTGCAGGCTCTGAAATATGACTCATTCTATCTTATGTCACAGACAAAGACACTAGAAATAGATTTTCAATAATAAAAATACTTCCTTATAAATCTGCATGCTGGGAGGAACACCTGTATGTTTATTTGCCAGTTTCCTGTATGAGACGTTCGGCCGCAGTGATTTGATGCCGTAAGGCAGATATTGTAAACTAATTAACAGATGTATACAATTCCTTCAGACATGAACTGTCCAGGTTATCACAGTGCAGCAAACCAATATCCAAACACCATCTCATGATATCTTAGCAGTGAGGAACTTCCCGGTGCCACAGCTCCCAAAAGAAGCAAAATTTCTCACTCCTGCATTTTTGTATCATTGTGCTCCTTTTTCAGCTATGATCTTCAGGTAAACATGTTTTTTTCAAGATATTTTACATTCATTTCAATATGCTTCTCTGAAAAAGATATGCTTTCTTTGAAATAGAAAACTACAGAATAACATATTCAGAATAAACTATGATCATAGTGTGATTAAAAATACATTTAGCAGGGAAAAAAATCTCATAAGTGAGTAAAACTTCTAATTTGTGAATGAAGTGATGAGCTACTAAACTCCACAAAGAAGATATAAGTGTAAGATCACCTAAATACTTTATACCATGACTATGACTCAGTTGCCTTTTAACAGTGTGCATTCATTAAACCATTAAAAGCTGTCAGTTCTTATTAAAATTCATTTGTATATATACATATAAAACAAGAAAGTGCCTGAGATATAAAAGCAAATTTTTTTAGAAGAGGAGGAAAGGAGACATTAAGAGTAGCCAGAAAATTATGTAGATGCAAAGAAAAACAAACACTAAACCCAACAGTGTTCTCTCAACTCTATAAATTAAATTTAACCACCCTTTCCAAATGTTCACTTCAGATGCAAGTATTCGAGAGCAATGAATTCAGCTGAGAGTTCTCAACACTCCAATACACGGGTATTGTTTTTTTAAAAAAATTAATGTTCCTGGACTGCAGCCGTGTCCCTCAGCAATCAGTTGGGTGAAAGTGTCTACAAGTTTTATAAGCACAAATGGTTAAGGAAAGTAAATTCAGAGGCACAAGTGAGCATTCAAAGAAAGTAGTCAGGTTCAGGCAAAAATATTTGCAATCTGAGCACTTACCCACTTGAAAAACAGAAGCATCAAAGATTAGTTAATCATCCTAATTTCAACAGCACACGCCAAGTGCTGGCACAGAACACCTGATGCTTAATTCAGGCAGAACATATTGCTCCCCAACAGCTCTAATGCTCCCCAAATAATCATTATATTTTGGTAAACAATTTTCTGAGCATTAGAAAACACTTTCAGTAGGGAGAACAACCTTTAGAAGAATGGAGAGAGGGTGGCAGTTTGGCTGTAGTGGAAAAAAAAATACAGATAAAGAATAGGAATCCCTGAAAGTGTCATTTTCACTATGTTTAAGAGGGAGTACAGAGGCATAAAAAGGGGAAAACCCTAGAACAGTATCAAATTGCCTGGATCTGCAACAATCATTATCAATTTTAACTGTAAAAAAACCCCATATGTAAAAAATAATGATGTCTCTAATACTTGGTCCCTGTTCTAAACAAAATTGAGGGTAAATATATTGCACAGCTTAAAGAACATTCATTACTAGTTTTAATTGTGAAAGTTTGTTAGAGATCCAAACAAACAGCTGAAATGTCTAAAGAACCCATAGAACAGTAATTGCAAAGACAATTTTCAGGTCAGCCAGTGAGGGAAGAGAGTTTTTGAAAAACCTGAAGTCCTCATACTTCCAAACAACTTAATAGATTTGAGTAGAGATAAAATAGAGCAATGAGTGTGTTTTCAACATTGGACGAATAAAATTAGATCTTTTAAAGTGCTTTAAAGGTTCCCTGCATTTTTGCCCATTACCAAATCTGATTTTTAGTATATACTAATATTTTAATAATTCTGGTTTTATGCATTTGAGCTCCACTGCTGCTTAGAGAGGAAGAAAAAGAAAAGATCCTCCTCATGCTACATAATACATGGCTAAAGCATTAGAAACTGAAAAATCCAAAAATGTTAAAAAAATGAGACAACCACATTTTAAGCATTACTATGTCAGGAAATTCAGAGATGTCTCAACTTCTGAGAAACTTGCCTTTCATTACAGGTATTACATGTTGAGGATAAGATGCCTACTTTCATTTTTCTATTCAAGTTTTTATATCTTTTCTCTTTCATTTTCTCTCAATAATCCTATAAAATCAAAAGGTCACTAGTGATTTTGCCCATTGCTTATATCTGACAAATGTTAATATTAAAAAAACCCCAGTATTTAGTGGAAAACTGGATGTATAAGAGAAAGTTTTAACTAAGGTTTAACTAAGGTTTGCAGCACGGACTTCCAGTTCTTTGCACTTTTGCGAACCAGTGAATTTCCTTTTATAGTTGCAAGTTAGTATAACAGCCACATTTATGTTTACAAACTGTGCTTACATATTAAGCACTAGATAATGTTATTAATGGAATTTTAAAAGTTAGCACACTTGAGTTCATTAATGTAATGACATTAAAGGTGAGCATTTTTACTTCTTCAGCGTGAGATGACTTTTTGATTCACATAATGAAAAACCGAAGCCAAACAACCTGGGTTTTCTTTGCAAACCTACCATATGTTTTTCTAAAATAACAAATTTAACCTTCAAAGATGTGTATGGCATAAAAGAGGCAGTCAACTGGTAGTTTACTTTGCTTTTTATAGACGCATTACTCTCTATTTTCACTGAAAAAGGCCACACATGCTATTTTAAAGTCTGATGACTCTGGCCTTTTTAGTGTAAACCCTCAGCCCCTCCCTGCCTCCTCCTCAAATCCTCAGACTGTCCAGTGACTTGAACAAAGTGTTGCTTTTTCTGCACAAGCATCTCGCTCCTAAATCAATATACCAAGGTGAAGGTAGCTTGTCATTTCCTGTCACAGGATACCCTTCTAAATTACTCTTTTCAAGAGTTCAGCAAATCATATTTCAAGAAATGACCATTTTTGCTTCCTTTCTGATTCAACATGTTAAAAATAAACACCAGCCACACTTGTGAAGTCCACAGCCAGATGAGGGTATTTCAGATCAAAAATAAACATAAAATTATTTCTTTTCCCAGCTATAGCAACTTACGTTTGGAATCAAAAAAGAAAGCAATCCTTAGGCTGGGTATTTTTAAAGACACTTAGAAAAGTAGAAAAGAGATTTGAAGAAATTACAGCAAAGTATTTCCCCTACTTTAAGATTTTATGTTGGAGCATGCATTCTTGATTGATAAAATCCAAATATCTAAAAAAAGGCTTAATATATCTCAGTTTAATCTTTACTAATCTGAAACGTGTTGGAATTAAAAGCAGTTAAAGTTACAGGCTTTCATATCAAGATGTTTTGCTTTGGAGTTCACAACGTTTTAGATGAGGAATTGCCACATATGCTATACTGTTTGCACAATTCTCATCTCTGAGGAAAAATTACAGCCACAAATTCCATGCAATGATCAAGACTGAAAGTCTGAAAAATGGGGCTCTCATTTGAGCAGCCAAGCCAAAACCTTTTTAGAAGCAATAAGCTTAGATCAAATGACAATAGAATATTTTATTTGATTTGAAAATTAACTAACCTCTATTAAAACTTCATTTTGATTATGAACAGTTTCAAGCTATAAATTAGGACACAGAGAATCATAGAAGGGTTTGGTTTAGAAGAGACCTTAAAAATCATCTAGTTCCAAACCCCCTGCTTTGGGCAGAGACACCTTCCACTA